GTGTTCTCAATGTAGTTTTATGCTCTTCTGTGGGGTTTGGAGTGTTAAAAATGGAGAGGGTGTAACACACATGATGTTATAAACAGAGTGTGGTTGGGTATCTAATGTTAAATTCCCTGACGTTGTCTGCTGATACATGTTGTTACGGTTTATTAAGTTGCTTATATGCCTTTGCTTAATTATAAAGATGTAATATGATATTTCCATGCTAGGTATCTGCTGATTTTGAATTTTAATTTTTTTGTTCTTCAATCTTTCTTTTAGAACATTAGCTTAAATTACTCAGGTATTTGAAACTTAACCTTGCAAATATATGGGTTTTCTCCTAATAAAAATTATAGCAGTGTTTTTGGAAGGGCTTCATATGCTCAGCATGTAGGAAATTTAGTTAAATCTTGAGCAGAACAGAAAGGAGGAGGATGTCAGCCCTTATGTCAAGGGTTATGTCCTTTTTCTCCTTTAAACATTACTGTGGACTTAAACATCACCTTAGTCAGCCTTGAACACATGCAGTTTCAGCAGCTCTCTTACATGAGTGTCTCACCTGCAATGACACTTTTAATGATCATTTTGATCTGTGCCTTGCTTGAATCTGGAACTTCATTGAGATGCAGTGATGATTTCACATGCTTAATGCACCTCATCTGTACCTATGGGAATAGGAGGGGAAGGCTGTCTGACCTGAATAAATGGCAAAGAAGAACTGATCTTGCAGCGTGCTAAAGTTGGCGCAAAACTCCTGAGAAACTTGTGTGATGTGATTAGGAGAAATTAGCAGTGGGAATGGAAGATATTTTTCTGGGGACAATAAAATTGTTTGCATAAGGAAACTGGGCCTGAGGAGTAACAGAATGAAAGGGAAGAGGTAGCTGGAGGATTGCAGACAAGAAAAACTGCCTGAACAACAACATAAGGGCTGGAGCTAGGATAACTCTGTAACTGGGAAATAAGGTCAAGGAACAAGGTGGTGCATACCTGGAGTAAATAACAGATAAAGAAGGTGAATGTCAACCTAACTAGAAGTTAAATCAGGTGAGAAAAGGATCAACTGGATAATGGGAGTGAAAACAAAACAACAGAAAAACAGCCCTGTGTAGCTGAAGATAAATCTGAGTATGAGGACTCCAAGAATACGATTAAAGAAAAGTGCAACTAGGACAGCTGGAACAGGGATGAGAATCAAACACTAGCATTAACTAGATAAGAAAAACAAACCTGGGATGAACAGCCAAGAATGGAGAGGGTATGAAGACAGGTTAGAAATAACAAACCAAGATAAGGCAAAAACATGGACATGAGAAGCAAGCAGATGGGAGTGTGCTATTAAAAAACACCCTCTTCCAGAACTTGGAAGGGATCCCAAGATTTGCTGTCCCTCTTCTGCCAGGAATAACTGTGAAATCCAGTGGTGAAGAGTCGCACAGCTTTTCAAATGCTGGGCCAAACACAGGACTACCTATTCACACTAACTGCATGGAGGAGCAGCAGATTCAAAGTGGTGGATGGATTCTGTGGGAGTCATGGAATGGGTTGCCCAAGGAAGTTGTGAATGCTCCATCACTGGCAGTGTTCAAGGCCAGATTGGACAGAGCCTTGGGTGACATGGTTTAGTGTGGACCTTAAGATCATCGAGTTCCAAACCTCCCTGCCATCAACTCGATGATCTTAAGGTCCTTTCCAACCCTAACTATTCTATGATTCTACGATTAATGATGGGGCTGTTGCTGGCAGGAGTCTGGTCAGGTTTACTCTAGAAGCTGAAGGGAAGTATTGAAGAAGAGGAATTATGGGAAGAGGAAATGGTGTCTGAAGTCTTTAGAGAGCTGAACAGCTTGAAATTTGAGTTTTACCCCTTGCCTCTGCTGCAGAGTTCCATGAAAAAGCTGGTTCAAGGCTTTTAAATTACAGTTCTTGCTAATTATTTGCTGCTCATTTTCAGATACCTGAAAACTTTGGGGTTTGATTGGAAGTAGTTTTGGATGCTCAGTGAGTAAGATTACTTCAACTGGAACTAGGCCTTGAAGAAACAGGGTTTTCTATAGTGCCAAGTCCTGACAGGTCCACAAGGTATCAAACCAGGCAATCTGTAACTGTTTCCCATGTGTAATATCATAATATCCCCTCATCTGAGGGGTATATTATGAAACTAAACTAATTAATATTACTGAAGCACAGGGGTACTGCAATAATAAGCCCCATAAAAAGCCCAAGAGAAAATTAATAACTGTATGCAGAGTAGGATCTGAGTGTGTAATGAATAAAGCATGGGGCATGCATTCAAGACTAAAACACAAAACATAACATTGAAGGGGTTCTTGTTAACTAAGCACAAAGGTCTGTAGAAAAAAATAGTGAACATGCAGTGAATGGCTTTCATAATACGTAAGTAGACAGGAGAAAAAACATAGAAATAAAGCTTCACAGGTGAGCTCTCTGCTGTTAAGATCATGAGTGCTTCAAAAGTTTATGTAGTTTACTTAACTGTGATTGTGTACATGCCTGTTTATTACTGTAAACAGTCTGCCACAATGCACTTTCATCTTCAGTATCTCCCTACAGAATAACAATCTGGGGAACTGGGAACTACTTAAACACAGTTTCAGGTGTTTCAGAAGTGGGCTAGGTACCTCAAAAACCAGGAATGGGTTTATCAGGAGATAAAAGCAGGAAGGTAACCATCTCCCACTGAACTTCACTGTGCTTGACTCCTAAAAAATCCCAGGAGTCCCAGTCCCAAGGAGCTGACCAGCCATGGTCTTCAGGCTTCAAAGCTTTAGGCATGTGCTGAGCTTGATGTTTGTGAATAAGCCCTTTGTGTCCACCCACCTAAAACTCCACACGAGATGGAGGCCTAAGCAGGAGACAGATAGCCAAAGAATGAGGAGGAGGTGTGAGCAACGATGTTTCAGATGTATTTTTTAGTTCTGTGATTGTGTCTGTCTTTCTTACATACTTGTCCTTTTTTTAAAATTCTTTTTTGTGTGTGGGAAGAGCAGAAAACCATCCAACTTCCTGGATTAAAAGAAATATTAAAAGTGGTGATGGTATTTTTATATAACTACATTTACCAATACCCGTGTCCCTGTAATATACCCCCAAATGAGGAAATTTAAAGGAAAAGGGAAAATGCTTGGAGTTTTGTTGTTGCTGTTGTTGTGTTCCTTTGGTTGGTTTCCTTCCAGCTTAAGCATTCTGTCTTCCTGGTTATGTGTTCGTTTCTTTGGAAACGGCTGTAGGATGGATTTTTGATTGACTATGTTGTCAGATGGATTATCAGAGTTGCGAGCTTTTTGGAATGGTAGACAGGAATGTGTGATAAGAAAAAAATATTCTGTACTTCAAATATTTTAAAATGTTGCATCATGAAAGAAGCCAGATTGAATATTTAACAGGTTACATAGGAAAAAAGTTCATTAAAAAATAAAGAAGTCAACTGGTTTGGTTACTAGGAAAAAATTCTGTTAATATGAGGAAAGGTTTTTACTAATGTGACTGGTGGGAATATTAATACCTAAGCAATCTAGAATTGTTTCTGCAGAGCTGCAATGCTTATTCTAAGCAGTAATTCTAATGTGTAGCTTCTCTGGATTACAAGCAGAAAGCAGCTTGTACCCTGACCTATACACACACTTATTTGTTACAGCACTTACGTACCCAGATTTCTGCATGATTCCCATTTAGTGTTTTTGAGTTTGCTTCCTGTCTTAGTCAGGGCTCTGCAAGGCCAGCTGTCCTCAAGGCTGCAAGCGGTTGGTGCAGCTCTGCTCGTGCTGGGGATTCTGAGGCTGGGGCAGATTGCTGGTGGGAGGCCGGGGGTGACGTCAGTGCCCACCTTGCTGGGAGAGTTAATCCCCTGCTGCACAGAGACTAATAATCTCCTCATTGGGGAGACTGTTGTGTTAAGATCTCATGTTGTACATTCCTCTTCTAGGGCTGTAAAGCAATTGGCAAAATCAGCGTTTCTGAAGCTCTGTTGACAAATGTGTGCTTGTCAGAGGTCGCTTCTTTCTGTGGTGGAGATGCATAGGATGGGAAAGAAAATTAACTTTTTACAGGTGTGCACATATGAAACAATAATAAAGCCAGGTTGGGAAGGTCCAATATATGAAGTGAGCAGGTATTTAATGTTGCTGTAAGAGAAACTGTCTCCTTTCTGGACACAAAAATATAACAAACTAGATTACAGATTGGATCAAACTGGTTTCTTCAGCATAACAGCTCACCAAACTGTGGCACTGTGCAAGCTAAGACAGTCCATCAGCACTGACACTGCCAGGATGGATTGATGGGAAGGGTCTCCGATAACTTCCTTGGAGTCAGTCCTCTGTGTCCAGGGTGGCTGGCCACAGAAATTACATTGAGGAAGAGGGGAAAGAAAGGAACAGGACTCAAGTTTCTCAGGCTTTTCTGTGGTCTAGTGTGTGGCACTTTTTGCAGACCTTGTGACGCACAACAAACAGAACTGCTGGGACGGAGAACAGTTATGCCTTACTGAAGCCTGCAGCCTTTCAGTGTCAGCTACTCATTCCTTGGCTTTCGACTCTGGACCAAGACTGAGTTGGAAGAAATATGGACACAACCTGGATGCCAAAAACATAAGGAGCACAACATATGGATGTTTCAAAGACACTGACGTTACTCAGTGCTAGACTCCTTAATATGCTGTTATTAAGCTGTTATTAGCTCTGTCTTAACCGACCCTTCCAGTTTTAATGGTATGAACTGCTGAGAGTACCTATCTATAGCAACACTAATTCGTAGGACGCAAGGGGCAGACGGAGCGACTCCGGGCAGGCAGTATGCGTTGTGTCTCGCCTTTCCCCCCGTTTTAGGGAGCAGCTCTGCCTCTGTAGCCCCGATAGCAGGCTATGCCTATCCCCATCCCCAAATAGCGGCGACAGCAGGCAGCGCCCACCCGGAGTTTGCGTAACCGCCTTTCACCTCGGCCCCGCCGGCGCTGCCCCAGCCCCCTTCACCCCGCGGCAGCACCTGGGGCGGAGCGGACGGCCAGCACCAGCGGAGAGAAGGGGCGCGTAGGGCGGCTGCCAGGGAGGCGCTGCGCCCCGAGGCAGCGGTGACGGGTGCGCCGCGCCGCCGGCTCTGCCGGCGCTCCTGGCACAGGCGGGGAAAGGGACGATCTCCGGATTTCCACCTCTGCGACAGGGGGAAGGCAACCGGGAAGTTTTGCGGGAAGAGCGAGCCTGTGCGGGCTCGGACATGAGAGGAAGACGCAGCCGCTTCTTCGCGGCAGCCCTTTCAAAAGTCAGTGTTAAATGTGACACCCCGGCGAAATGGGAGCAGGAGAAACTCCCCGCTTCCCACCCCTTGTCCCCCCCCCCCCCCCCGCCCTTTTCCATGGAAACTCGTAAAAGGAGGAGGAGTAGAGTTTGCTACGGAAAAGTCTCACCTTGGTCTGAAACAGTTTCAAGCGTTTCTGCAGGATCGGAGCTGCCCGGCTCGGGGGAGGGGACGAGGCAGGCGGAGTGGGAGGGAGATCTTTAGCTACCTTCATGTATATATTTTATTTATTTTCCGCTTGCTCTTATTTTATTCCAGCGGCACGTCTCAGCCCCTCCTCCCCCCTCCCTCTCCAGGTTGGTCGGCTGAAATGAGGCTTTGCTTGCTGATCCCTTCTCGGGCTTCAAACCAGAGCCCGGCCCCGCGCAGGCGGCAGCAGTTCGGGGCGCTTCGGCGCTGAAGCGCGCCGGAGCCGAGCAGGACACCGCGGAGTGGAGTGGGGCGGAGGCCCCGCGGAAACTTCGCTTGGAAAATAGACCTCCGCCGCTTTCCTGGGGATCCACGTGAGAACAGGAAAGCCCGGCTGCAAGATCCCCGCGCTGTTGCCTGCTGCAGTTTTACTTTTTGTTTGCCTTGACTATTTTTTTTTTTCTTCTGTTTGTTTGTTCTTACTTTCATTTCGGAACCGGTTCCCAGCTCCTTGGCTGAACTTCTGGAGACCAGTGGACCTTTTATATTGCCTTCCTCTGTTTTAAGCAAACTATGGACGCTTAAACTTTCCTCTTTCCCCCTCCCCCTCGCTCCTTAACCCCCACCCATCAGCTCATGGGGCTAACGCTGCAAAGCAGCCGCAGCAGTGGGAGAAATACACAGCCACTGACTTATTTTCCCGTCTCCTAAATTGCAGTTAGTTCTTCTCATCGACCTTCTCATCACTCATTCTCTCCAGCTTTTTCGGCTGCCGGGTGTCTATGTGTGCATTGTTTTATCTGATCTCAATTCTTTTGTTGTTGTTGAAATGCCATGCACTGCTTATCTAGAGAGAAAGCTATATGGAGATAGAGGCATATAGTGAATGCGCGTGTGTTTCCATAAGACTATCAAGGGAGCAGATCAGAAGCAGCCCGGATCCTGACCCTGACTGTATGAATAAGTAAGCAGGATGCTGACGACTGTGTGTTAGTTGCCTGTAAGGTTTTCGTAAGTTAAAAGGGGACGGAGAAGCGGGGGAACGGACCAGAGACAGAGCTTAGAGTAAGTGTTTGTGCAGGGGAGGGGGGGGGGGGGGAGCTCTGACACTTTGCTCCCTCCTCCAGCATAGCTGCTGCCTCCCATCACTAGAGCTCCGCGGTTTGCTCTAGTGCACCCCACCCCTTCTCTCCCTTTTCTTTCTTTCCTTTTTTCTTTCTTTCTTTCTCTCCCCCCCCCCTCCCCGCTGTAGTTTGCTGATGTGCAGCCCGGATCCATCTATTGGCAGCAGCAGCGGGACCGAGGTCGGCGGGCGCGGAGCGGGACGCGAGCAGCGGCCGCCCCCTCCTCCTCCTCCGCGGGAAGTTTGGCTGGGGTTTGACAGAGGCGAGGGGGCGCCCTGACAGACAGGATCTCCCGGCCTGAGTCCACCCCCCGCGCCCACCCAGCGACGTCTCCCCGGCGAGGTGGCTGGCTGGGGGCAGAGGGGCACCGGCGCTCATGCTTCTCGCTCCGTGTTACACCCGTCTGACTGGGGCTACCTAAGCACCGTGTCTTCGAAGAGCCTCCAGGTGAAGAACGAAAAAAAAAAAGCCAAAACACCGCCCCCCAAAACCTGTGATTCCTCCATCCCTTACCCTGCTTTCCCAAGCCGACGTGGACAGCTGAGCCGGCCGCCTAATTCATCTGCGCCCTGCCTACCGCGTCTCTGCCCGAGGGAGGATGAAAATGCTTTGCTGGAGGATGGCACTGTGGCTGGCCGGGTGGACTGTCTGTGGGAAGCCTTCCTCCTGTTTTGGCCTTGATTATGACTACACTTATGATTTCACTGAAGAGGATAAAGCTGAGGGGATAGATTATAAGGATCCTTGCAAAGCCGGTAAGTGACTTCCACGTCTAATACATTTCCCTCCCCCCTCCCCAGATGGTAACTTTGTCTGGGCTTTATTTACCGCGTGAAGGGGGAGTCCCGGGCTCACCTGCTCCCTCCTGGGGCAGCGAAGACAAGCGGAGCCGGAGACTTGCGCCCGGCTCCTTCACCTGGGGAAGGTACCCGGGACCTGCTTTTCTGGGACTTCCCACTTCCCTAGTGCCCCTGGCTGAGGTGGGATCGGCGGCGGGCAGGGCTGGACCAGCCGCCTCCACTCCGCGTCCCCAGCGGCGTCGAACCGGCCGCGGAGCCCGGTTCGTCGCCGCCGGGGACGCGGAAGTTGCAGAGGGCATTTAATCGGGGCTCAAAGGTTTCGAGGCGGGACCGTGGAAGGAGGGGTTGCTGACGAGCTGCTGGGTTCTCAGCTGTGAAAGCCCACGCTTGTGTGTCTCATAACGCAGCCGGTACGCGATGGGGGTTCGTCTTAGCGCGTACCGTGGGACCGGTACCATGCCCCTTGCCCACCCTGTGCCTGACCGAGCCTTTCTAACCTGTGTGGGAAGGGTTGAGTTACAGCCTCTTCTCACCTTGCAGAGCAAACGAGTGCTTTTCTAGAACGTTTATCTTACTGATTTAGGACTTCAGACACCTTAATGCCAGGTACAATTCTTCATCCATTAAAGTTATCAGCTAACCCGAGCTGACCTGGTATTTCAGCAGACAAGTGTATCTGGATGATGCTTCTCCCCCACCCTCACATGTGTTACGAGCAACAATGGTGGTCCATTCCCATCAGCTCTATTGTTAACTAAGTGCTCAACTTTTCCAGCAGCCTCCTTTGCATTAATTAGTTATTTTATATTCTGAAAACTAGTTCAGCCAAAGGTTGGGTTGACTATGTCTGTGTGGTTTTGTTTAATTTATTGGGGAGAATGTGGTGAACATATATGCCAAATATGCAGACATTTATGTTTTTCTAATCACAAAAATATTTTGTTCCAAAGTGTGAATTGTTAGGTCTTACTTGCTTACAACTGACGATATCCCAAGTTCAAAAAGAGCAGAAGCGACTGCAAACAAAACATTGTTTTTCCCAGTTAGCACTCACAAATAACTATGTGTAACTAACTAGTCATAACTAACCTGAACTCTTTTCTTCTGATTTGTAATTCCGCTGGAAGGTTCATATGCATCATTTCATATAATGACGAATGTGTATTTAATGGGAAATGTGCTGTGGGACTTTTTTAGTACTACTTGTTTTGTAGTGGGAATAATTAAAAGTTATGATTCGTTATACTGAATGTTTTAAGGTTATGCATGAGAGAAAGACAACAGTAATATACTGTGCAATATGATCAGCATTGACAATTCTCTGCCATCATTATGTTGATTTGTTTGGAGAGAAATACTTGTTTGGAAATTTTGACCCATGAAATTTTTTTATGGAAGTTCTTGCTGGTGCTGCTTCTTCGTAAGGTGCTTAGGTACTATTGTGACAAGAGTTAGTTGTATGAACTTCTCATTAGTCTTAAAAGTCATCACTTTGAGGTTTCCAGATCAGTGAATACCCCATTCATTTATTGTTAAGTGTATGGTAGTTCTTCAGAAGTGAAGATTGTAAGTCACTCCTGGACACTGGGTTTGTACCGCATACCAAGCCGTGTCTTTTAACAAAAATTATAAAGTTCTATATGTCAATGAAACTGATCCTCCAGCAGTATTTCCCAGTTACTTTTCCTGCTTAACCTTCCCTAAAGGCTCCACTAATCTTACCCTGTGAAGTGCTGATACCTGATCAAAGGTGATGGGGATAGTGGGTGCTCAACCTCTTTTAGCAGCATAACCCAAATGCGTGTTCTCCCTTGGTTAGGTCTTTCCACCTGGGATTGGTTTTGGACTCCCACGAGTAATTTTACTGATACCTGTCATTAGGATGGTTTCCCCAGTGAGGCTCTAAAGGTCAAAGCCAGGCTTCACACTCAGGGGTGCAAGTTGTTCACACTCAGATTTGTGTGGTTGCCCTATGTGTGAGATAACAGGGTAAAACAAGATAATCCTTGCTGAGATTGTCTTTAGTGTATGCAAAGTTTGTATCTTGGAGATAATTAACACCTGCTTTTACTGCTGTAAAAGTGCTCTTTCTTTTTTAAACTTGGTCTGGTAAAAGTTAGGTCCCTGTTGTAAGCGTATATTTCTGCAAGCAAACAGGGGGAATGCCCAAAGTCATGGTTTTACCTACTGACATACTTCAAAAACTCCAGTGAGCTCCATACAGATTTTATAGATGTACTAGAATAATTTGACGCACCACAATCTGTGAGCAAATAAAGCACACTAAGATTCCCCCAAGTATGCTGATGCAAAATGGGATCACCTGTATTTTACAAGTTATTTGCATTCTAGTTTTCTCCACTGAATAGTGTTTGCTGCTTAGTTTTTGTTCCACAGACCACATGAGAAAATGTGATCTTGTGACAGAAAGCACAGTAGACGAGGCCTCAGATCTACAGTTAGGTATAGTTGGGATTTTATAACTCTTTATAGGTACAGTCCTAACTCTTTGAATCAACCTTTTGTAGCTTCTTTTGCACCTGGTTTACCCTTTGTGGAAGAGCTGGAGACATTTACCAAAGCCAGAATGAGACAGCCTCTGTTACGTTATTTATAGGTATTCTGTGGGATTATTTATGAGTATTCTCTGTGTATTTTAACATTTTCATAAAGAAGGGATTGTTTTAGCGTATGTGCCTAGAATCACACTGTTTCTTTGACTTAAAGTCCCCAGAAGCAGCGTAGTGTAGGATGCTATAGAGGCTGAAAAGTACATTTTCTTACACTGTTTCCAGCTTTGTGAAAAATGCAGAAAGCAGGAGCCTGACAGATACACAGTGGGGTTAGGTCTTGTTTCTTGAACTGATGTTTCCAATTGCATCTAAACCAGCAGCTATTTTATGCAACAACCTTGAAGTTCAGTCTCGTCTGTGAAGCCAGTGCCTTGGGAGTGCTGGAGTTAGCGCTACAGGGAAGGGAAGAGCCTGGAGAAATTTTGTGACGGTGTTGGGGAGACGAGTGTTGGAAGAAGTTATTGACATTGTGCAGAAGAGCTTGATGAGCTGTGTGATTTCCTGTGTGTTTGTCTGCAGACCTTTAACCTATGTATGAATTTTGGGTCATGCTGCTTCTCTTTATAACAAGTATCCTGGCATGCTCTAACAGCGGGATGTGATGTAACACAGTTTCTGTGCTTCTGATGTCTCGGATATTTCCTCGTGTCTCTCTGCAGGATATTGCCCTCAGTGTTTACCATTGTGAAGTTCAAGTGTAAGGCATTCTTAGTTCATCTTCAAGATCTAATTTGCCAGAAGATGTGAAACTGGGAATGCCATACTCATCACAATGTTAGGCTTTAAAGATCTACGAATGTAGATCAGCATTTGTATAAGTCGGGTATGAGTCAAACAAATAAAATGCCTAGTTAAACAGGCACTGTGAAGTTTTTGTATTGCAGCATGCATGTACATTTATCTGTGGATTCCTGAAGTTTTTCTTTTTTCCATTCTTGCCGCAGCTTGTAATGTATTAAGAGTATCTATGCTGAGAAACATACAGAGTGAGATGGGTAGGAGAAGAGTTTCTCATCCTGTAATACTTGTTCATGGTCTGCACTTGATATTAGAGATTTTGAAGGCTTTTCTTTTGTTTCTGTAAAACGACAACAAAAACAACCCCCCCAGACAGAGAAAGAGACACTGGAGTGATCTTCCAATTAAAATACTGTAAGCCGTGGGGGATTAGGCAACAAGTCTTAGTTTTGTTGCATATCTGCATCACTTAGGACTGTTGCAGCCTCTGGACAGCTGATTGTCCTCAGGTAAGTTTCTTCTAGTGTTTGTCCTGTGAGGTATTTCACCTAAAAAAAAAAATGTTCGAAGTTTAAGGAGTAGGCTCAAAGCTGAATTCCGTGATCTGTTGGTTTTCCCTGTTGTGAGCCTTGGTCTTCTCTATACCAGAAGTTCTGTCTTACACTGGGGAAGCTTTTCCCAAGAAAAACTTAATTGAAACTTTTACATTCTCACTGTAGTTAGTTTGGATGACTTTTTTTTTAACACAAAGCACTTAATTGAATTTTATTTTTTTTTCTTTAAATTATTCAACAGTTGCTTATCTTGGAACAGAACCTTTTCTGTTTTTCCCAGTAAAGTTGGATAGAAATGTCAAAGAATCATAATAAAGACAAACAATTAGATTTACAGCTTCAGAAATTGGAAGCTGATCAGCTTGCTGTTGTTTGACTAAGTACAAATGTAAGTATGTATGTGTGTCTTCTTCACAATAAAAGTAAGTGACCCTTCTCGTGTCCATTTGTCATACCTGTAAGAATTGAAGGAACTAATTTGGGGTTTTGCAACTTTATAAATAATAAAACATTTGGATTGACTGTAATAGGGGTATTATTATTTCCCATCTTGGGTATGAAATGTAGTTACATATTTTATTTGTAAAGAATATGAAAAGTTGATGGGAAATGTTTAGTATTATTATTACATTGTGTCATTTGTAACTGCAGTCTAACTTGTGTATCAGTGTTGTGGCAACCGCCTTCTATTCTGTTAGGTTGGGGGTTTTGTATTTTGTATTCTGGGACGTTTTCAGCTGTAAGATGCTAATTTTACAGTCTGGCAATATGAAAATTCTTAAACCCTCTGATTATGCATTTTGATTCTGTTGCATGATTTAGGTAATTGAGATCTTTCATCTTTATATTTCAGTCATGCAGTAAGTTCTGAAAGATACATTGTGCAGTTTGTACTAACATAGAGGTTGTGCTGCTAATATCACTTGCCAGATTGACGGAACTGTGAGTAGTCATGTAGTAAACGCATAGTGTAGGCAGCTGAAACAGAAACAAGCTTTTCTGAAGCCTGTCTCAAATGGCCTTCATCCTGCTATGGATGGGGTAAATCCAGCTACTGAAAAATTCAGCTTTTATGTTGTATTTCTATTTC